ACCCTAAACCCTAAACCCTAAACCCTAGGCCCTTTTCCACGACACTTTATGTCTTATGCCTTAGCTTTTTTCGTTAAACCCCCCAACCTCTGCCAAACCCTCGCACACTCTCCCAAACGCTAAACCCTAAGCCCCGAAGTCCCAAAACCCTAAACCCTAAACCCTAAACCCTAAGCCCTAGAAAATGGGTTTCGGGTGGCGCGAGCGGCCTTACTGCCTGCCGCTGCTGTCGAGCTACAGCAGCAACTCTTTGCTGCTGGACCCGCTGGGTGTCCCGAGCCTCCCCAGCAGCAGCAGCAGCAGCAGCAGCAGCAGGGTGGAGCGCGGCCCGCTGCTGCGGGAGGGTTTGCGCAGCAGCAGCAGCACGCTGGAGGTTTGCTGCAGCATTTCGCAGGGCCTCTTTGGCTGCCTCAACAGCAGCAGCATTCCAAATAGTGATATTTTCTTTCTCCCCAAACCCTTGCTGCTGCAGCAAGCCCTTCCCATGCTGCTGTTCCTTCCCAACCTTACTGTCTTCACCCGCAGCTGGCCCTTCTACGCCTCAAGGGCACAGTAGCTGCTGCTGCTGCTGCTGCTGCTGCAGTTGGTGCAGCAGCAGCAGCAGCAGCTGCAGCTGCTGCTGCTGCAGCAAGCCCTTCCCATGCTGCTGTTCCTTCCCAGCCTTACTGTCTTCACCCGCAGCTGGCCCTTCTACGCCTCAAGGGCACAGTAGCTGCTGCTGCTGCTGCTGCTGCTGCAGTTGGTGCAGCAGCAGCAGCTGCTGCTGCTGCTGCTGCAGTAAGCCCTTCCCATGCTGCTGTCCCTCCCCAACCTTACTATATTTACCCGCAGCTGGCGTTTCTATGCCTGAAGGGCGCTGCTGCTGCTGCTGCTGCTGCTGCAGTTGGTGCAGCAGCAGCAGCAGCGGCTGCAGCAGCTGCAGCAGCTGCTACAGCGGCTGCAGCAGCTGCAGCAGCTGCTGTTGCTGGGCTTCCCATGCTGCTGTTCCTCCCCAACCTCACTGTCTTCTGCCGCAGCTGGCCATTCTACGTTTCAAAGGCACAGCAGCAGCAGCAGCAGCTGCTGCTGCTGCAGGTGCAGCAGCAGCAGCAGCTGTTGCTGCAGCTGCTGGTGCAGCAGCAGGTGCTGGCCATCATGCTGTTGCTGCCCAACGTGACGCTGTTTACCCGCAGCATTCCACGGATCCAGGGCGTAGTTGCAGCAGCAGCAACAGCTGCTGCTGCTGCTGCTACTGCTGCTGCAGATACAAGAGTAGGGGTAATGGCAGCAGCAACAAAGGAAGGAGCAAAAGCAGCAGCAGCAAAAGCAAGTGCAGCAGCAGCGGCAGAAGCAGCAAACCAGTAGAAGCAGCAACTGCAGCAGCAACAGCAAAAGCAGCAAATAAACAGCAGCACCAACTGCAGCACAGCACCGGCAGCAGTAGCAGCAGCAGCAGTGGAGCAGCTCCTTGTGGGCGCCCTCAAGTGGGGTTGCAACAGCAGCAGGAGCTGCTGCTGCTGCTGCAGCAGCAGCTCCTTGCCCAGAGAGTTTCGTTGTCCCTCGTGGCTGCTGCAGCTACTGCTGCAGCCGCTGCTGCAGTTGCTGCTGCCTGCGCCTGACTAGCTTCGCTTCCAGCAGCAGCAGCATTAACAGCAGCAGCAACAGCAGCTGCAACATCAGCAGGAGCAAATGCAGCAGCAACAGCAACAGCAGTAGCAGCTGCAACAGCAGCAGCAACTGCAGCAGCAGCAACTGCAGCAGCAGCAACTGCAGCAGCTGCAACTGCAGCACCAGCAACTGCAGCACCAGCAACTGCAGCACCAGCAACTGCAGCAGCAGTTGCAGTGACTGCAGCAGCAGCACGTTTAAAAGGCTCTGGGCCTGTGAGTCTTTTGAAAGGAAACTTTGGTGGTTTTAAATTGAAAAGAACAAATGAAATAGTTCGAAACTCTAAACCCTAGCTAAACCTTAAACCCTTCGAGCAGTAGAACAAATCTGCCGAGGGTTTAGGGTTTAGGGTTTGGGTGCTGCTGTGCTATGTGCTGCAAGGGTTTGCTGTACCCCGACGCAGCGACAATGCGCTTGCAGCAGCAGCAGCTGCTGCTGCTGTTGCTGCTGCTGCTGCTGCTGCTGCTGTTGCTGCTGCTGCTGCTGTTGTTGCTATGGCCTCGCCCCGCCGGTACGCAGTTTTCGAGTTGGCATATGATTAATTGATTTTTAATTAATTAATAATTATTAACAATTAATTAATTATTAATTAATTAATTAATTAATTAATAATTGTCAATTAATTAATTAATCCATTAATGGTTATATGCCTGGGTCTGCCTGTAGGTCTGGTACTGCTTGTAGGGTGTTTGCTGCTGCTGCTGCAGCAGCTGCTGCTGCTGGCTGCTGTCAATGAGGACTTCAGCTTCTGCTGCTGCTGCGTGGCAGCAAGAGACAACAGCACCCACTGCAGCGCAGCAGACACAAGCGGCAGCAGAAAGGCACCAGCCTACGGCCTCAGCAGCAAGTATGAGGGGGCACTTGCGAGGGCGGCGGTGCTGCTGCTGCTGCTGCTGCAGCAGCAGCACTTGCTGCTGCTGCAGCTGGCTGCTGTAAGGGTCCCAGCCGTAGCCCCCCACGCCGTACACTGCAGCAGGAGGCCCTGAGAAGCTGTAGGGATAATTCTGCATCTTTTCGAGCTGTAGATACACCTCAAAAGCTGCCAGTTCACCTCAAAAGCTGCCAATACACCTCAAGTAGCTGCCGATACACCCCAATTAGCTGCCGATACACCCCAATTAGCTGCCGATACACCCCAGATAGCTGCCGATACACCCCAGATAGCTGCCGATACACCTGAAGAGCTGTCGATACACCTGAAGAGCTGCCGATACGCCTGAAGAGTTGCCACTACACCCCAAGGGCTCTTAATTAGCTGCCGATACACCCCAAATAGCTGCCGATACACCTCAGGAGCTGCGGGTAGAGCTGCCGATACACCCCAGGGGGCTGCCGATACACTTCAAATAGCTGCCGATACACCTCAAATAGCTGCCGATACACCCCAGGAGGCCCTCAGGCGCTGTTGCTGCAGCAGCAAAAGCTTCTGAGCTGTCTGTACAGCTCAAGAAGCTGCAGATACACCGGAGAGCTGCGCGTACACCAGAAAGAGGTGGCTAGACACCCGACACTGGTTCGCAAAGAGCCCGCCACAAATAGTCAGGCTGAGGGTTTAGGGTTTAGGGTTTAGGGTTTGGGGTTTAGGCTGCGGGGCCAGCTGGAAATTGGGAAATAGCATCGACGGGGGCTGCGCGGCGCTTCGGGCGGGCAAAAGAGCGGCTGAAAAGGGGAAAAAAAGGAAAATTTGAATTAAATTTAATCAAATGGAATAAAAGAAGAAACAAAAAAAGAGAACGAACGCAAAGAAGCAAAAAGGAAAGCCCGGCGGCGCCCGCGGCTGACCGCTAGATGACGCCGCCCCGAGTTTGAGCCGATGCCGCGGATTTGCGGTGATTTAAAGGCTTAAATGGATTTATTTTAATTGAAAAATCCAATTTTATTCTTTATTTTCTTTTTATTTCTTTTTTCCTTTTTTTCCAGCCAAAATCGCCGCGAAAACCCCCCAGCGCCACCGACGCCCCGAGTCGCATATTTTGGGGTGTACGTACACCTGAACTGCTGCGCAGCACCGCCAATAGCGAAATCAAAAATTATTAAAACTGAAAAAGAATAAATAAATTGAAACTGAAGAGGTTTTAGCTTTCTTAGACGGAAAGGGTTTAGGCTTTTGACCGTTTTAAGCTCCAGGGTTTAGGGTTTAGCGTCTAGGGTTTATTAGGGTTTAGGGTTTAGGGTTGTTAAGCCCGATAGCAGCTTCGCCGGCAGAAGCCGTGGGGGCCCTCTAGTGTATTTGGCCAAGCGCTAGAAACTCGTTTTCCTTTTGCTTTCAAGGGTTTAGGGTTTAGGGTTTGGGGTTTCGCAAAGGTAAACAGGGTGTAGGGTGTAGGGTTTGGGGTTTAGGGTTTAGGGTTTAGGGTTTCCCGCCCCAGTCGCTTCCCTCGAGGCCCCTTCTTTTCCATCAGCTTATTTAATCTCTTTTTTACTTTTTATTTATTTTAAAGGGTTTTTAAAAACCTCTAAACCCTAAACCCTCAAAACACAAACCACATGCAGCAAAATCCTCGGGGGGCCCCCAAGGGGCCCCCGGCAGCTTTCGCCCTTTTGAAGCACCTCCAGCCCAGTCCTAAACCCTAAACCCCAAACCCTAAACCCTAACAAGCGGGATCGCTTGGGGGCTAGGGTTTAGGGTTTAGGGTTTAGGGTCCCCACTGCCGCTTCAGCTGTGCTGCTGCGGTTGCAGATGGCTCTATGGAAAGCACCACAGCAGCAGCAGCAGCAGCTACTGCTGCTGCTGCCGCTGCTGCTGCTGCTGCTTCCTCTTCGCACCGATGCCATGGTGAAGACGCATCAAACCCTAAGCCATCAGCAGGCACCCAAGGCACCGGCGAGCCTCCCCAACGGAAACCCGTTTTTAGGGTTTAGGGTTTAGGGTTTAGGGTTTGGGGTTTAGCGTCCAGTTTGCTATCTGCTCAGGGAGTCCTCCGCCCTTCTTACCAAGCAGGGACTTGGTTTCCTGGAACAGGTGCCAAACCCTAAACCCTAAACCCTAAACCCTAAATAGTGGTTTGATAGGCTGCTGGAGCTCCTCCTCGAGCTCCTTGTGCCGAAATTTCGGGTTCAGCTCCAATAATTTAGTTGGTGGGCTGTGGGGACTAGGGTTTAGGGTCTAGGGTCTAGGGTTTAGGGTTTAGGGTTTAGGGTTTAGGCTTTGCGTTGCAGCTGCTGAGCTTCGCGCCGAGCTCGACTCGCTTTTGGAATCGGCAGAGACGTTTCCAGGCACAGTGAAGGCTATTGCTGTCCCGTAAACCCTAAACCCTAAATTAGGGTTTTCGTAGATCCCGAGGCCATACTGCAGTACACCTCAAACCCTGGGCCATCGCCCGGGCCCGTAAACCCTAAACCCTAAACCCTAATTCAGGGTTCTGTCTTCAGGCCTGGCTTGCAGTTTGTTTTGAAGTAGCAAACCATGGTTTGGTGTTTTAGGCCTAACCGTAAATTCGCGTGCACAGATCGCCGCAAACTCTTGCGCAGGGTTTAGGGTTTAGGGTTTAGGGTTTACGTCCAGGCACGCGGCTTTTGTTTATTCCGGGTCTACGGCGGCCGTGGGCTATAAGCAAATGCAAGCTTTGCAGCGAAGAGTGTACGTCAAGGGTTTAGGGTTTAGGGTTTAGGGTTTAGGATTTGGGCTAAACAGTCTCCCCTGAGTGCTGCGCAATCGGCAAGCGCGCAGCGCACGTGAGGGTCTGGCTGCAGCTTCCTTTTTGATTTAGGGTTTAGGGTTTAGGGTTTAGGGTTT